AGGACAACTTTTAATACTTTTTATATAGTGGCTTTAAATATTTTTTTAATCTGTCAGATATATAAATACTCTATCATAATTAGCAATATTTTTAAATCTATCTTAGCTATACATATTTAATATATCTCTCATAGCAAGCAGTATTTTTTAATATATCATAGCAATAAATATTTTTAAAACTTAGGGGTCATCCATAAATGACGTCACGCTTTTTTTGACGATTTTTACCTCCCCCCCCTCCCCTCCGCCACACTTCGTCACAATAAGCCAGACCCCCCCCTAAAATGACGTCACACCTCAACCTACAACCCCCCTCAAAATTGCAGTTGAATTTTTTTAAAACATTGATATTTTTCCAAAATCTTGTCTAAACTATTACAATTTATTAAAACAGTTATCTAAAACGCGAAATAACGTCTAAAATTCGTTTTCTAACATTGCTTTTTTTATAATGCAAAAATGTGACGTCGCAACATCTGACCCCCTCCCCCTCATCACACATCGTCACAAAATTACGGACCCCCCCCCCTCCCCTCTACGAGTGTGACGTCATTTATGGATGACCCCTTATCACAATTACACATCTTTTTAAACGCATCATATTATTATCAATATTCGAAAATGTATACTAAGTTTAAATATTTTTTTTTAAATCAAATAGTCCAAAATATATCCCACATAATAATATAATTGAAATATTCCAAAATATATCCTATTGATCAGAGTTTCTTCCAGGCTTCTCTTCGCCCCCCCCCCCCCCCCCCCCTGAGAAAAAAGTCTGGAAGAAACACTGCTATTGATACTTCGCGAATTTTCAAAATTGTATTATATAGACAAATTAAATTTCAAAGTGTATCCTAAATAGAAATCAGATATTCAAAAATGGATGTTTCGTTTATATCAAATACTCAATAATGTATCCAATAGATAAATCAAATATTAAAAATATATAGATACATAAGTCTTCAAAAACGTTTCTTACATATAAATCAACAATGTAATTCTATATCTAAAACATTTTCCCAGACCCGGGCGTGTCTTACCACGAGGTGATTAAAACCCCCTTTGACGTCATCAGACCAGACATCATCTACAAGGGCGGAGACGACGAAAACAAGTACAAACTACGCAGTAAGCAGTAGACGGATGTTCATTGGTGGAAGATATTTTTAGACCGGAAATGTCTCATTTTTATTTTTAGTGTTCCTTCTTTTAAGAATCGAATGGGGGTAAACTTGGGAGTATGTGGGGGGAGGGGGGGGGGTAATATCAATAACATGTAATCGATTTTTATTATGTAAGTAAACGTTTCAACTAAGCATAGACAAAGTATGTTTTGCTGTCCCCAGCTATAGAGCTTCATCTGCCCGGGGTTCGAACTCGAGACTTGTTGGTTTAGCCCAATGAGCTTTCACGACCCGACCCCCTTTGATAATAGTCCTCCCTTGCGTGGCTTATTGAATCCAGGACCCGCACGGATGTCCCCCCCACTCACATCTTCATACCCTCACCCCCCTATGGCGGCCCCAGCCCCCCCCCCCCCCACGCTTATAGTCGTATTCCTAACCTCGCTTTTGCAGACTCGAAGAGTATTTTTATTTATTTACTTACTTAAAGTTTAGCTTCATATTTCCTTACTTTTCACTTTTTCAGTTTGATGACATCAAGTCAAATAGCTGTTTTTACATTTTTATAAATTGGTAAGTTTTGAAACAGTTGTGAACAGTCAAGTAGACTAGAAATTATTTTTTTGCTGCGTCCGATTTCGTGATTAAACAATTAATTTAAAATTGTGTAAGCTTATACTTAGCGTAGAAACCAAATTTAATAAACTGCATTCCTATTGTTGTGGGTCTATGCGTCTTTTTTTGTATGCTGAAATTTTGATTCGCAGTAAGATAAAAATAAAGTAATGAGTTCTAAAGGAACTTCGTGACAGAGTTAATGCTTACAGTCTGATAAATTTCGAATTCGGAATCCGGAAATATAATTCGTCGTGGAGTAGACTCAGCTCTAATGGGTACCGGACTGGAGTTGGGGAAAGAAATAACAATTGAACATAGTGATGACCGCGCTATACGTTTTATATTTTAAGATTTAAAAATTAAAATAAATAGCAGCTGAACTCTACCCAAAGCTCAAAGAAAAATAGAATTTTATTTCATTCCATGAATCTCTGGTTTTGAAAATATATTGGTTAAATCATAATTCCCTATTTTTAAGCTTTTATTTTAATTAATGTAATTGCTTCAGAATACGCAGTGACGAGATTGAGTAGAAAATGTTGTACTCTTATTTATTTAATAACTTAAACAGTAATTTACATGAACATTATCGCGATGACCTTTAGCCCACTTTTCTAACCTTTGACCTATGTATCTAGCCTTTGACCTATGTATCTAGTCTTTGACCCATGAATCTAACCTTTGACCTATGAATCTAACCTTTGATCTATGTAACTAACCTTTAAACCAGTGTATCAAATTTTTTACTTACGTATCTAACCTTTGACCTATGAATCTAACCTTTGATCTATGTATCTAACATTTAAACCTATGTATCTAATTTTTTACCTACGTCTCTAACCTTTGACCTATGTATCTAACCTTTGACCTATTGATTGATTTCATCAGATGTGTACAGATCTCCGTCACAATGACGTCAGTGTCAGATGAGACATTACGTCACATCCACAGAATCCGCCGCTGTTATTCAGTGTTTTTTTTTTCTATGTCAATGAAATTATATTCGATCTATTGGAGGAATAAAATTATTCGTTTTTTTTCTTTTGAAATTGTGTGTGGAATTATTTTCTTTTAATATAGTGTGTGGGAATATTTTCTTTTAATATTGTGTGTGGGAATATTTTTCTTTTAATTTTTGTTTGGGTTTTGTTTTTCTTTAAATATTATTTATGAGAAAATGTTTCTTTTAATACTGTGTGTGGGAATATTTTTCTTTTAATTGGGTGTATGTTTTTTGTGAGGTTTTTTTTAATATTGTGGTGGGGAATATTTTTCTTTTCTATTGCGTGGGTTTTTTATAAGCTTTTATTTAACTCACTTCCTCGTCTAGTCTAGATCGAAACGCCGGAGCGAAATTGCAGGCACTTCTAACTGACAGATAGGGTTATTTTAATTTTAAAAACATGTGGTGTTTTTTTTTTCTTTCGGTATTTTGATTTGGGATATGTTTTTTTTTTGTTTTCTATTATCTGTGTGGTTGTTTTTAAATTTGTTTGTGGGCATTTTGTAAGGTATTGTAAGCTTGTGTATAAATGTTTCTATTTGCGGCAAACTTGTAATAATTGACAAACTCAACACGTTTTATTCTGTTGTATTGAATAGTAAGTTAAAACTTGAGAATCAGCCTGACAGGTGAAGCAGAGTTTACCTATTTTTTGAAGAGTAAATTTCCTCAACTACGACGTCTTTGTTGTGACAAATTTTATGGAGCGTAGCAACAAGATTTCTGCATGTCCTTTTCTGTGCTATGAGCTTAGCTATGACGAGATATATAGATCTATTTTTTTTTAAAAATGAAGGCGTTACATATGCTTAGGGGTCGTGCATTTATTATATAACACAAAGTTTATCCTTTTGTTATATTGAGTTATATTAGCGGGGAGGGTAGTCAAGATGGTGGCCATTTTATATAACATTCTTTTTTTTTAAATACGATTTTTTCCTTCTCAAAATTTCCCCTTCATGTTTAATTATCAATATTTCATTGACGAAGAATAGCGAATCCGGTTTTACAACTATTAAAAAAAATATTTTTAAGCAATAAAACTACAAAGGTCATTTAATAAAAATGTTCAAAACAATTTTTTGTAGCTCATTGATGTATGTGTGAGAGGGGGAGGGGATAGGCTATGTGTTTATAATATGGAGGTTTAAATATTCATACAACTTTAGAAGGGTAGGGGGAGGCTAGAATAGGTTTTTGTGTTATATAATATGCGCACGACACCAAGTACTTTAGAAGTTTAGCATAATGCACTTGTGCAGGTGCAGTGAGTAGCTGCATTTTGAAAATAAAAGATCAAACGCCTAAACTAGCGCTATGGGGCTCGAGAAGAACACGGTAGAGTCGTAGAACAGCAGCTGGAAATCTTCAGGTGAGGAGACTGGGGGTCTGATTGTGGGCTCCACACACTTTAGGTCAAGGTGGATCATCTGAACCCCCCCCCCACTCCCACCCCGCAATATCACACCCACCCTACAAGTAGAAAACGATAAGAAATATACAAGATTGATATTTTAAAAACCGAACAAGATACATTGGGAAATTTATATGTAGATACACACATATATATTGGCATATATATATATATATATATATATATATATATATATATATATATATATATATATATATATATATATATATATATATATATATATATATATATATATATATATATATATATATATATATAGTTTTATATGTATAGTTTTATATATATATATATAGTTATATATATATATACCTTTAGGCATATATATATATATATATATATATATATATATATATATATATATATATATATATATATATATATATATATATATGCCTAAAGGTATATATATATATATATATATATATATATATATATATATATATATATATATATATATATATATATATATATATATATATATATATATATATATGAAGCAATATCATCAGGGACGATACATTCTATCATGATCTACCACTGACAGACAACACACATCACTTTTGCCACGCCCTAAAATGAGATTGACTGATCTCCCATTTCTTGTGATAATGGATCGTTCAATAGTTCAGCCACAAGAACGGCTCTACGTGCAAAAGCAAAGTAGATCTAAATAGCCCAGTTGAATATCTAATCACAATGAATCTCACACGTGTGAATTGATTTCGAATGAAACTTTTAAAAATGCAAAAAATGTAAAGCTCCATTCTCAGACATATGGATATATAAGGCAGATGAAGTAGATTTCATGTTTCCTGACCTCGGCAAATGAAGGAATAGTGTAGTAGCTCAATGCCAGACGCCTTTACTTTCCTCAACGCGAGTCAGGCAGCCTACCATTCGAAGCTAGGCAGACTCAGAGACGTCATACAGTCACTTGTCCAGGCCGAAATCCGAACTCATGACTTTCGGTTTGGTAAAGGAACGCTCTACCATTTGACCACGCCGTCCCCTTTAATACTGCAAAGATACAGATTATGGGATTTGTATTTATTGTCTTCATACTTCGTAATCTACTCTCATCAGATGCCTGTATATAATTTTTGAACTTCTGGCTTTGTCACATCCTGCCATCTTATCTCCACTCACCATCTTCACACTTCATTTCTCGCTCAAATACACGTAATATCATTTACGAATTATAGAAATATAAACGTGATATTATTTCTAATCGGTATAATAAGCTGCTTATCACACATACATCACACACACACACACACACACACACATAAATATATATATATATATATATATATATATATATATATATATATATATATATATATATATATATATATATATTATATATATATATATATATATATATATATATAGATATAGATATAGATATATATATATATATATATATATATATATATATATATATATATATATATATATATTCGGAACAAAAGGCTATCTTGGTCAACATTGATTGATAGGGTGTATGGCGATCAATCATAGGTGGGTATGGTGAGACACATGTACGCCACTAGACATTAGGTCGATCCTCCACCATAGTCACAACCAACTACACTCCAAACTGTTAGGTTTTTGTTTCAGTTTTTCATAATGCAACTCTTTAACTTTCCTTCAGTATCCTGTGTCTTTTTTTTTAAACGCGTATCCCGTCAAGTTATAAATAATGCTGAATCAGGGTTTGATTTTTAAGACCAATTTTAATCTTATAAAACAGTAGCGCGACATACCATATTCATCTGTAATAACTCTCTAGGTAGTGTGTCACTCCCTCTCTTATCGGTATACTCACTTTGACTTCGTTAGTGTGGAGAAAGTAAACTACTGACATTTTAAGAAAATAATTCTCTTTGAGCCATCCACCATAATTGTTGAGCCATTTTTTAAATTAAATATTTGAAGTATTTTAATTTTCACGTACACGATGTTTGTCTTCGACTATTAAATAATGCTAAAAAAATCTCGCCTTGGTGTAAGGCAGGGGTCTCCAAACTACGGCCCGCGGGCCGGATGCGGCCCGCGAGGTCCTCTCATCCGGCCCGCGGAGATCTTTTTGTCCACGCAAAAAACATTTGTTGGTGATAGCTGAGAAACTTTTCCCAGAAAAATCAAAGACATGTCTGGAAGAAACTGGCCCCCGAACTGAACTTTGATGCGGCCCTCGGGCTGAAAAGTTTGGAGACCCCTGGTGTAAGGTATAGAACACTGGTTCCAAATCTACGGGTAGTAACCCCCATAGGGATCGCCGCTTTGTAAGCTAGATCAAACAAAAATATTATATATATTATTTTTAAATTGTATGGTGGTTGCGGATCACTTGGCTTTTATAACGGTATTTTAGAAAAGAATAATATTATTTCTGACCTTGTAAAGTTTTAAAGATAATGACGAGCATTATTCGAAACTGAAATTATGATACGCCAAGTGCTATCAAATAGTTGCAATGATAATGCTTCCTTTCTATATTCAACTCACACAAAATTTCTGTGAAAAACAACACTTAGTCTTGGATCGTATCAAGATGTATTGTTTAGAAAATTAGTTGATCTAGGAGTACCACACTTTAACTAAAGTTAACAAAATAAGTAGTAAAAACTTACCCATCACAAAGAAAGAGAATGAAAACATACGTACAATTATTGTTTTTGTATATTGCACATGCCAATTATAAAATAAAACCGATGTAAGCACTCTAACTCATTGTGATGACTGTTGTGGTTTTATTTTAAAATAATTCTGTTGTATATATTCGAAGTGAATCAAACGTGGAACATCTAAATGCATGCTTGGTAATTATTTGGAGGTTTATTAATTTCACAAGGTAAATATCATAGATGTAAAGGCAAATCTACCAGTTGTTCATAGACGAGGAATTAAACGAATCAAAACAAAATGCCAACCCGAATGTCCATAGTCCGAACCCTGGGAGAAAACCCCAAAATCAAACAGGAGTGGAATCCCCTTCTAGTTTCCTTTAGGCAGCTCCTGCAACACTGCTGATTCCAAGCTGAACAGGTGACGTCCTGTCTCTTGGGTCCATCAGCTCTGTGGATAGAGGTAAGTGTTTCTTATTGACTTTTTTTTCGGGGGGGGGGGGGGAGGGGACAGACACTGCTAGAGGTATATATTTTCTATATAAATTCCATGCGGGGGGGGGGACAGACACTGCTAGAAGTATATAATTTCTATATAAATTCCATGGGGGGGGAGGGGGACAGACACTGCTAGAAGTATATATTTTCTGTATAAATTCCATGGGGGGGGGGGGACAGACACTGCTAGAAGTATATATTTTCTGTATAAATTCCATGGGGGGGGACAGACACTGCTAGAAGTATATATTTTCTATATAAATTCCATTTCGTTCGGGGGGGGGGGTAGGGCGGGGGCATAAGACTTTCTTTGGGTCGGCTCCGCCCCCCTCCCCACGAAGAGATGCCTAGAAGAAACTCTGGGAGAGGGGCTATTCTCATCGTACTGCCAAGGCTTTGTACTTGGATTTCCAGTCTCACCCCCTTCATCTTTTAGAATATGGAGACATTTTATAACTACACTGGATTTAAAATAGGACGCTTTTTAGTTTTTACTGACTTAAGGTTAAAAAAAAACAAAGAAAAAAAAGAGAAAAGAAAAAAAAACATCGAATCTTGACGAAAAAATCGAAAAAGATAAAAAGAAAATTATCTTCGGCATTTAAGGACTACCCTAATGTTTGTATATATATATATATATATATATATATATATATATATATATATATATATATATATATATATATATATATATATATATATATATATATATATATAATGTAAGTTTATACTTTTATATTTATAGCTTTACACACATTTAACCATATATAACTAAAAGAGGTCATGCACTATATTTCTGCACAACAACCTGGGCCAATTTATAAAACAGTTTAAAATTCTCTAAAATCCTTAATTAGATTTTTTTAAATCGTTTGTTTTTAATTGCAAATTTTGTTTTGTATTTTGAGAACATTATAGATTACAATTAATACCAATGTAATATTCCATGTTTTTATGTTTCTAGTGATAAAACGTGCAGTTTCACTGTTTATTTCATGTAAAACATAAACCATGTCACCGGTAGAAAACTTCAAGAAAACAAGGAAACGAAAGACGAATTTCATACGGCAAACGAGATGATTTATAACAGCTGTGTTCGCTTTGAACAGGTCAGGGAGGTTCGGTAAAAACAAATGACATGTGACATGTAAGGTAAGATTGAGGACCAAACGTAAAGGGAGGCAAGACAATAAAAGGCCATTGAAGGCTTAGTGCGCTTATCAGGGGAGATTATTCTCAGTGACTACAGGTAAGTCCGCTAAATCTTGGCAATGTTCAGATTTTTAGACTTATTTTTTTCTAAATACGTTAAATTTTAAACAAAATACAAGTACTTGTTAGTTAATTAAAACAACAAACTATCTTGAAATAAATTATTTTATTCAATGAGTTTATTCTAAACTTGTAAAACGTAACAATATTTTGAACGTAATTTTGTTATTTTGTAATAAAATTCAATTTGCTGATTGAGTGTTGCCTAGTTAATTGTTTATCCCAAGATATTTTGTATTGATAGATAATAAAGATTAGTTTTGAATATTTTAAAATATGAGCTGTTACTTTTGTAATACCTGTAGGCCTACAAGATAGAGATTATAGGTTGTTTATTATTGATCGTCTTAACTTAAAAAAACTACTATGACGTACCTTTATACACAATGAAAGGACAAAATAAAAATGTTATCATTATTAAAAACAAAGACTGGTTTAAAGGTGCTTACCACAAAGTCGTATTTTCAAAGTCCACTTACCCTCATCTTTTCAAGGCATCAGTTCTTACTAAGCTGTGACTTTACAAGATTTTAACTAAGCCCATTTTGCATTTTTTCTGACTTCAACAGAAAACAAAATTTTTGAGAACACATTCACTTGAAGTGACGGTTCACATTAGTTGTCCCTAAATAAATCTTTAATTACATGTAATATTTTTGTTAAACTATTACTTTAAAATCCGAGGATATGTCATTTTGTCCGAGGTTTTAAATTGAGCCTTTTCAGTAGAGAAATTTGACAATTGTCAACGGGCAAAATGTTAATTACTGATTGTTTTAATTCAATTTTTCTATAAATCTTATATAATTGTATTAGTCTAGAAGAAAAGTGAAGAATTCAGGCATGAAGAATACTTTTCTCTTTTTTACAAAGAACGAAAATTCTCGAAGAATATATTTTATTTTATATCGAGCCTAGTAACAAAAGAGCTAGAAGTTTCCGTGTGATACAGTTAGATACAGTTTTCTTTAGTTTCGACTAGTTTCTTTGAGCTAGTTCATTGTAGAACTGTGTTTCTACACACATTAATGTTCTATACAGTACTACAGATAATGACAATTACAGATAAATTGTTTTTAGAAAATAAAATGAATTTGGTGGTTCAACTGGGGTTCGAACCCAGGACCTCTCGCGTATGAGGCGAGCGTGATAACCACTACACTATTGAACCCGTTGAAATAACGCATAATATTTTATATATGTAAATATTTTCCCCTCAGATTCCAGATACATTCCACCATGTTGAGTCATCTTATCATGTTGGTGCTATTGCTGGTGAGCTTCTCTCAATCCATGTACATAGGTGAGTTCTAGCAGACGATAGGTCAGCTCCGAGGTCAGCTACCTGCGGTCACTGAGCCTCATTCAGCTAATTTAGCAATAGCTTAAAAAAAGCGACTCGTTTCTTTATAAAGAAAGCATTGAAGAAAATGAATTCACTGTTTAGATCAGTGTGATACCTAAACAAAATTTCAACTTTCAATCCAGCAGCATGATGTATTTTTTAAATAAAACATTTACCCCCACCCTCTACCTTCTTAAGGGCTCACATGTGTGTCCACCCTTTGAAATAATAATACATATAACATAAATGGACAGGTTTTTCTTTTAAATAATAGTGTTCTTAAAAAGCATAATATCTATGCTACGTCTGATTATAAGACGACCACACGTCACGATACGTCACAAAAGTCAGTCAACCCCCCCCCCCCCCCCCCAACACCACTTGACGTCAATTCAGACAAAAAATAGTTCCCGATCGTGGGTTAAAAACGTAATTGGATTTCACAGTTAGATTTCAGTTTTTCTGGTTAACAGAAAACGATAGTTTATTCAAAAACAATAATTCAAATTCAATTCTGAACATAGGTAAAACTTTTAAAATTAACTTTACGAGCCGTTCATCGCTTACAAATTATTACTTCTTCCCAAACTTAGCCATGCTTTCTTGTGCTTGGTCGAGATTTGGGGGTGGGGTTCGGGGGTGTTAGGGTTAAGGCTACAATTACAAGACGTTGAGCCAGGTTAGCACTAGTTAGGATCGTGATATTCATCGATTCGCTAAACAAAATAACAATAGGAAAGAAACCTATGTTGAAATCTTCAGATAAAATTTTTGATCGTATTTCAGGGCAACCTTTCGGCATGATGGACTCGTACGATGCACCCGACCAAAAGATTTTAAGGAGAGACGCCTTTGGCAGAATACAGTCGTTTGATGGTAAGTGTTGTCTTTCCACCACTTGAAGATATACTAGTGTCTAGTGTCTTCAGTTCTTCAACAAGACACCTTTCCAGGTCTGTCTTGGGCGCCTTCTCTTCCGCTTTCCCTGGGGGTACACTCAAGCCTTGGCGTGTAACATTTGGGTGAGCCTTTCGTAGCGTGTGTCCCACCCAGCGCCACTTCCTCCTTCTTATTTGTACTGTCATAGGCTCCTGCCTAGTCCTTTTCCATGGTTCTATATTAAAGCACTTTGTTTTGCCACCTCAATTTCAAAACCGGTCTTAGACATGTGTTCATGAAGTTCTGAGTTTAACAGAATGGTACTTACAAAAGTTACTTAACCAAAGCTACATATTTTCCCATAAGGCACTACCAGCCTACCCCATCCTATGCCAATCCCCAATGTAAATTGTGAATTATTAATATATTGTTATATTTATTAACCTTTCAGTATCTCACGAACGTCGGATCGTGCCCAACGCTTTTGGTGGCTTGTCACAGTACAACGTCATGGGTGAGTCAAGTTACTAGGGTCATCTAATTCAGCTCGTGATTAGCTTCATATTTACATACATGCATATACATAAATATGTATAGAGAGATAGGGCGAAAGATATATAGAAACACTGATATTGATATAAATTGGAATGTGTAATTAAATTGTATTAATTATAACTATAATCTAGATACTAAAGGACATATATATATATATATATATATATATATATATATATATATATATATATATATATATATATATATATATATATATATATATATATATATATATATATATATATATATATATATATATATATATATATATATATATATATATATATATATATATATATATATATATATATATATATATATATATATATATATATATAAATACACGTTTCATGGTAGTGTGGAAAAGCTTGAGTTGTGGTGCCCTTTTCAACGCTGGCGTCATTCCTTCTTGCTGTAACTGTACCCTGCACCCATCACCTTTTTTTTTTTGTAGGGGAAAGCGACAATGCAACGCCTTTCTCTTTTACAATAAGTTTTTACGTAAATCGACACTCTTCTCCCCCATCTCAGCTACAGTGAATAATTACTACAAAATTCGAATGCGGGTTCATATAATTGAAACGTCCTTGAGTCAACCCAGCTCTGATGGGTACCTAACTCAAGTTAGGAAATATAGGCGGCTGAGCCACGCTATCCCTTCATATACCGGGGTCTATGAAGTTGATAAACTCTACTTCATCTGCCCCAGGTGTCTCGGGCACGAACGGGAAATGATGATTTAATTAATTACTAATACTGTATAGTTTACTATCTTTGTATCTATTTAGTAAAAGGGAAACAACTTCGACATTAAAAATAAAAGAATGGTGATTTGTGAGGGGGGGGGGGGGTGTTTGAAATGTGACGTCATTTAAACAGGGGATCTGACGACAGTGAGGGGCATGAATCTTAAACTGTCCACCCAAGAAGATTAATATAATTTATGGTCGACACCTTTTTACTACAAGAGCAAATATTTACTAAATCCTAAATTAGCCCTTGGCATGCCTCGTCCTTGACTGAATAACACCCAAACACCAGCCCCCCCCCCCCCCACCCCCTCGCTGTTGGAAAAAAACAGAAGAAATATGTTAATGGTATAATTTCCCAAACTTCCTTATGATGAACTCTTCCCCCACCCCCATTTCTGCAGATCATGACACCCCCCCCCCCCCCACACACACACACATCCCTGACCATGACCCACACCTCGTATTTTTTATTAAATCAAACAATAGAAAAAAATGTGTCCATGAAATAATTTCCTATACTTCCTGATGGTGACCATACGACAAAGTGTCTGTCACGTGATGAGGTTTACTGTTGACTGCCTGTCGTCACGCCTCAACAGCCCACAGACAAGAAAGGCACACGTCAACTTTGTCGTCTGCCACACATTCTTTGTGGTGTCGGTCACGTATGGACTTCTGGTGGCAGCTCTTTGAAGGCTCGTCTGCTGGGATTTCTGGGCCTTCGTCTTTTCAATGAAAATGGACGGTTTCTTCTTTTTAGGATGGCGTCTTTTCATTATTTCGTCTTTTTATGATATCGTCTTTTCAGTTTTTTTTTTCATTTTATAATTTCTTCTTTTCCTTATTTCGTCTTTTTATGATATAGTCTTTTCAGTATTTTTTCACTTTATAATTTTGTCTTTTCCTTATTTCGTCTTTTTATGATAGCGTCTTTTCATTATTTCGTTTTTTTATGATTTCATCTTTTAATGATTTCGCCTTTTTATGATGGCGTCTTTTCATGATTTTGTCTATTTTGATTCCTTCTTATTATGATTTCTTCATGTTATCATTTTATCTTTTCATAACTTTTTATCTTTTCATGATTTTGTCTTCCTATGATTTTTATCTTTTCATAATTTTTATCTTTTCTTGATTTTGTCATTTTACGGTGGCGTCTTTTGCGGGTCACCCGTTTACGACGTCACGCAGTTTAAACCAATTTTTGCGATACCTCATCGCCACACATCTTCACAAAAAGTCAACCATGACGTCGTATTTCAATCTACCAACCTCTTCCACCATTGCAAAATTGCAAATTTTTATTTTAAAAAAATAGCAGTTTCTTTCTAAAATATAGTTCCTACAATAAGTTAGATCAGCATTGAGTGAAAAAGATCCGTTTTTTGTTAACAAAATATTGTTTTAAAGCACAAAATAACGACAAAAATTTAATTTCTAACGCGACTCGTTCATTTCTATTTTTCTGTAATAAAATTTGAAAATAATTTTTTGAACACAATTGTTCTTCATCAATGTCTTTTCGTACTTTGTAGATTATTATTTTAAAACATTTCAAATAATATATTCCTTAATTTTTATGAGTAGCAGCAGTTTTGTTATCATATTTTTATTTTTTTCTATCACCAGAACTATCTGACCCTGATATTCATTATCCAGGTAAGTTTTTTTTTTGTTTTAATTTTTTAAACCAACTCGTTTTGCTGCAACTTGTATTTTGCTATGCTAATACGAATCTATATTTTATAAAAACGTCCTATGATCACACAATTAATGTATGCATAGATATTGTAACAGAATGTACTTTTCATGTTTTTTAATTATCATTTTGAATATGTTTTATGAATATGTTAAATAACATATATATATATATATATATATATATATATATATATATATATATATATATATATATATATATATATATATATATATATATATATATATACTTAAAGGAGGAGAGGGGAAGAAGGGGTGTTGTGGTTGGAGTAAAAAGATAAAACAATTTACATTATAAAATCAATAATAAAGTTCATCTAGCAAAAAATATTTTAACATAAAAATAAATCACCATTATTTATATTAATAAACATAAAAATGTAACAAATATTTTATAAATGTGTTTATAAATTAATTTTTAGGACCGCAGTTTATACCAGTCGGAGGGCGTTTCGGTGGGGTGGTACCCCCGCCGTTTCCCAGGCCGTACCATCATTCTTTTCACCCTTTTTGTGAGTATCATTTTTTCTTCATTCTTTCCATCCTTTTTGTGAGTATCCTATTTTCTTCATTCTTTCCATCCTTTTTGTGAGTATCATATTTTCTACACATTCACTATAGCCGCATTACAGAAAAAATACCATTAATCGTAATTTTCATTATTAAATTTTAGAACCATTTTTTATTTAACCGTTGCTTTTTTTATTTTAAAAATTATGCTATTTTAATATACCTGTTAAAAGTAAAAATGTTTTTATCTAGAATATAAGTTTTGAATTTCAGCCGAAGCTAAACTGATAAACATTCATGTTGCGCTTTTTATCTCACATTATTTCAATCTTATTTACATTTTCAAATCCGTGCTGTCTTGCAGAGGCGTATCAACCCTTCCCGGCGCACGGGGACAAACTTTCAATTTGCAATTTGCAACCCCCACCCTGCCTACAATCTTTCCATTTGCAGCCCCCCCCCCCATATATTTGTTTATATTTATAATGCAAAACTGCAGCTAAAATCAGATTTTAATTTGTTTTTCCAACCCATTTTGGCACCCCCTAAGGTCGGCGCCCGGGGACATATGCACCCCCCTCGCTACGCCTCTGCTGTCTTGGGAGCCCATTCAACGACGGGTTGTCCTGCTAGTTTTCACCAAAACAATTTAAACTCAGATATGAATCATGTGTCGTTTTTCTTCACAGAATACCTAAACGTCCTTGTTAGCTGTTACATTTGTTGAGGGAAGATCCTGGTGATGTACTCAAGAATGTGTCGTTTCTAACGCAATTTATAAATAAACAATTACAAACAAAATCAAGAGTTTTAAATATTGTGTTTTCTTTTACCATTCCGAAATTTTTTTTCCTTAAAATTAGGCCTACGTTTATGCCTCAAAAACACACCTTAACCAATGAAAGCGATGTGTTCTGTGTTTCAAAAATTCTTATTGTGCTAGTGTTATTCTTTTGTCAGGTATTTCACGCTAGGTGGCGCGTCTTTGTCTACATGGCTACAGATCTGACCCAGTTGACTATAGCTGACCCCACCAGATTAAAAACAAAAAACATCACGTGTCCACACACAATAGCCGGTACTAGGTCACTGTCAGACCACTGGTCACCTCTGGAGAACTACTGGCCTGAATTTCTGTGACCTATTCACCTTTGACACATCACATTCCAAACTGTTTATTTCAAACTTTTTTTTTTCTACGGAGGGGGTGGGGGGGGGGGGGGGGGGTCAGGGCACTTGAAACTTTCGGTGGGCGGGGCGGACTAATTTTCCGGAGTGGTGGCTGGGGCGGACACTGCTAAAAGTATATATTCTCTATATAAATTACATTTCGTTCGGAAGGGGTGAAGAGATACCTGAAAGAAACCCTGATCCCAAAGCATAGGACCGTCTTGTAAACCAACCACCCAGCGTGTATTTTGCTGTTTGCTTCAACATGACTACAGGTATTTTTAATGGCCGATTCTAGTCGGAATAAGATACGCATGCGATAATGGCCGATTCTAGTCGGAATAAGATACGCATGCGATACGCATGCGCAATGGAGAGAAACTACGACTTGCCTTAGCGGCGATGTTTTCGATCAGTGGCGTAGGCAGGGGGGGGTTAGGGGGGGTCATAACCCCCCCCCCCCCATAGACCCCTCGGTATATATAAAAAGTATGAGGGGGGGTGCAAATCGAAAGTTTGAGGGGGGGGTGCAAATCGAAAGTTTGAGGGGGGGGGGGTGCAAATCGAAAGTTTGAGGGGGGGTGCAAATCGAAAGTTTGAGGGGGGGGTGCAAATCGAAAGTTTGTCCCCGGGTAAAAATTGGAACCCCCCCCCCCCCTTGAGACGATCCTGGCTACGCCACTGTTTTCGATGGTACTGCGCATGCGTGTGTTTACAACCGCAGAACCCTAATACCAACCCTAATCCTATCCTTAACCCTATCCCTAATCCTATCCCTAACCCTAGCCCTAATCCTAACCCTAACCCTAGCCCTAATCCTATCCCTAACCCTAGCCCTAATCCTATCCCTAATCCTACCCCTAACCCTCATTCTTGCCCTAACCCTAGCCATAGGTCACTGCGCATGCGCAGAACTATCTTTTGCCGAAAAATCTTATTCCGAGTAGACACTTTGATTTTTTTAATACTCCCTATCACGATGAGATAGAGGTGATATATTTAATCAAAATCTAAATGTGCAAAAACAACATTGGTTCCATGAGATTAATTTTTAGCTTTAATTTCAGTCAAAAGTGGAACAGCCTTCTTTTAAAATAAATAAATGAGTTATAGATACATAGTCAGAATTTAATTATGCACTTCATATATTTGGATAATTGCGTATTGGAAATCCAAGCACAAAGCCTGGGGCACTATTCACTAAGTTTAGAAGAGCCAGATGATGCCCATGTATCAGCCCCCCCCCCCTCTCCACACAGCTGATGGACCCAAGGGACAGGACGTTACCAGTACACCTTGAAATCAGCAGCTGACGAGCCTTATCTGCCCTTGGATTCGAACCTTGAACCTTCGTGTTAGTCACACACAACGTTCCCTCTAAGGAGGAAAAATTAATGTGCAACGTATATTTTATGTGCGGGGTGTTGTACAAGTTTTATTCAAGGATATTATGTGCGTTACAAAATGACTGCGCGGTTGGTTCACAACGACTGCGGCGCAGTTTAGAGGGAACATTGGCCACACCATATACACGAAGTATAGTATAAACACAGTTCTCTCGATCGATGTCTATACTCAGAGGCGTCGCTAGGCGGGGGCGGGGGGTGCGGACCGCACCGGGTGACAACATTTGAGGGGGGGGGAGGGGTGACACAAAGACAAAAAATTGAGAAATATATAGTAGAAAAATGCTTTTAGCTAGTTTAATTAATGATTAATCAGAGTTAAAAGACTTATTAAGTGCAAATCAAAGATTCCGATATGGGGGAGGGGGTGACACCTGGATGTAATCCTGCCAATTATAGAGAAAAAAATTTACATAGAGCTATATATATATATATATATATATATATATATATATATATATATATATATATATATATATATATATATATATATATATATATATATAAACTTATACTTTTTGTGTGGGGCGGGGGTAACACCATTAGGTGCCGCACCGGGTGACACCCGAACTAGCGACGCCACTGTCTATACTTGAAATCACAACAACCTATTCTGATAAAGTATAAAGCAGAATAATAATGAAGGTGGGAGAAAAATGAATCGCCACATATAGTAGGCAACATGTGATGACACACAATGATACTGTTTAAAAGAAAAGGATTATTTTTATATTTCATTTAAAACACATTTTTAATTCAATTCAAGGAATTTTTTTTTAATAAATTGTGAAAAAAGGGAATC